CAGCTCTTTTAAATTCATCGTATAAATAAATGTTCGATTGGATTGAGGTCGGGACTACAAGGAGGCCATTCCAATCTTCATAGTTTAATCTCTTCCAGATACCCGTTAACTACTCATACTCATAACTCGTTGCCCCGCGCAACATGGGGCCTAGTATTATCAAGCACCAATATAAACTGATTTCCAATGAATGGAACGAGAATTTCTTGGAGGACATCCTCAATATAACGGTGGGCATTGGAAGCTCCATTTTCAACCAATTCAAGATTGTAAAAATAAAGTACAGCTGGTTCCAAAAAAAAATGAATACGACTCTCTACACATTCTTTTCGAATATTTGAGCACTGTATATTTATATCTCAAGTATTTTGACATGTTAAGGTTATTGTGACATTGTATAAAACAACTTTGCTTTTGACAAAGAGGCAAATACATTTTTCAGAACGTCAGCATGACATGAATAGAGAAATGGGGCCGGTATCATAGAATATACTGCCCGATATAATAAAAATATGTTTTAAATCGTAGTCAATTTTATTGGAACCAGCTGTACTTTATTTAAAAATATGTAGCTCATAAAAAATAGAGGTAAAAGGATAATTGAAAAAATTAAATGACAGGAGTACAGTGTGTCCCATTTTGGTTGAAATCATAGGGTATCTCCGTTATTAGTGAAGATAGAAGGGTGCGGTTTGCACAAACCTGTCCCGCTTTTTCGTCAAACGGAAGATGCTGCAAACAAAATTTTCATAGCCCTCTTCATTTCTGAGCTACAGGGTCTTTTCAAAAATTTTGCAATTTGGGAAACCCCCTGTATCTCTGTTATTGTTAAAAGTATCGAGAAGGCGAAAACTGCTTATTGTAGAACTTTTTACGTAGAATACAGTGGCGTAGTCTGTTTTTCTACCAAAAAAATATTTTTGAAAATATGAACTAAAGTTATGTTTTTTCAAACGGAACACCCTATATATTTATAAATCATATGATCTGTTTTGCTATGAGCTTCTCAAAAATATATATCACTCTATATTTATTTTTACTATTTACTGCAATATTTAAAATATATCATTTTCTTATTAGTAGGCCGTGATAAATAACAAAAAATCAAAATGGTATTTACTAAAATAGTCATACACATATTAAAATTTATCTGGGATTGATATATTTTACTTTCGAAATAACTGTTACCACTGAAACTGTGAATATATTTTTCTTTTTTTATAACGGGATGGGTTTGCAAATATCTAAATCTTGAATTATTAAAGCATTTTTCAGGTGTTCGAAATTGTTGTAGTGCCCACGATATATTTCGTATTTCGAAAATCCTCAAAATCAGAAATCGAGAACGACGAAATCCGGGAATCGAGGAGGCTATCAATATGTGTTCATTGGTTCCAATTCATTGATTTGAAAAATAATAATTTAACAGTATTCTAATATTTCCATAGTTATGTGGGGGAATGTTCCCCATCTTGCTGAAAGTATATTTGACGTAAATTAGCTAAAGGAATATCTAAAATTTCCGATACGATAGATTAGTCTTACGTATACACGTATTCCAAGATTTACAAATAGCGGTAGAGACTTAAGTTTCCCTAATATATAAAGAATTTATTAGCGGCTCCCAAAATAAAACAAAAGACAGATAGCAGTATACTTTTAATAATTCTTTAGATTCTTTTATTATCAATCATGGCCTACTAATAAATATGATCTTTTAATAAAAACTTTTAAATATTGCAGTAAATAGTGAAAATAAATATAGAGTGATATGTATTTTTGAGAAGCTTATGCCAAGACAGATCATATGATTTATAAATATACAGGGTGATCCATTTAAAAAAACATAACTTTAGTTCATATTTTCAAAAATATTTTTTTTGTAGAAAAACAGACTACGCCACTGTATTCTACGTAAAAAGTTCTACAATAAACAGTTTTCACCTTCTCGATAGCTTTAACAATAATAGAGATACAGGAGGTGACCCAAATTGCAAAATTTTCAAAAAGACCCTGTAGCTCGGAAACGAAGAGGGCTATGAAAATTTTGTTTACGGCATCTTCCGTTTGACAAAAAAGTGAGGTTTGTGCAAACCGCACCCTTCTATCTTCACTAATAACGGAGATACCGTATGATTTCAACCAAAATGGGACACCCTGTACATCTAAGATTACAGGAAAGTGTTTTTTTATCCAAAATGCCGGTCCCAGTTTTTCCACCGGTTTTGCATTTATTGCAAAAAAGGAAGTTCTGATTTACACAGGTATAAACCCACCTAACAAAAAATATATTAGTAATTAAAATAATAAAAAGTAATGCCAACAAATTTATACAAACCAATATCATCATAAAAATGGGATTACAAATTAAAAAGTTCTGAAACATCAAACTTAGTTAAAATTTTAGTGTGGCGGAATTTTGTGGGGAATTTATATTTTTTTATATTCGGGTGAAAACAGATAACAAGAGCACCAACGCAATCTATCGGAGTTAATAATCAAACAACCTGGACATTTTATCCGCTTCATCACCTTCAAAAATTAAACACAGGCTCTGGATTTAGCAAGAGTGCGAGTGAGTGAGATAGAAAATAAATAGCTACCACCGATCGCCGCATATCATTGCATCAGGAATTTGCCAAATTGCGCCTGCGAGCTACACTGCACGCTTCACAACACATGGGACTCAACTAAATACTATCTATTGGTCGGTTAAAAAGAGATGGAGATAGGAGCGCTACTACCGCAAACCTGCTATATATAAAGACATCAACAATAACTAAACTAATCAACTAGATAGAGACAGGAATGTCGCATAATACAGGCGCTAAAATCGGTATACAGTAGGTGCAAGAAATTTGGAAATATATGGAAAAAATATTTTAAAGTTAAGCAGAAATTTTTATTTTTGGTAAAAGTTCTTTATCTCAAAAACTGTTAAAAATGAACTGGTTTGATTCTGAAATAAAAATCTGAAATTCTCTTAGAGAAATATGGTCTAATCTTTAAAAGAAATACTTAAGTTGCTTAGATCTCAAATGTTGAGAATTTAGGTAACCAAAAAATTGTTTTTGGTTGTTACTTTTTTTCTGGTTTCCTCATCACTTTGACACATATTTCTACAGGGTGTTAAAAAATGCAAGGCCAAATTTCAAGGTGTCATTCCTCATCAAAGAATAATATAAAAGATTCCTATAAACGTGGACTCTGAAATCCATAGATTTACTGATACAAGATGTTAAAAGTTTAACTTTAACGATTCTTAGAAATATTTTAACACTTTACTCTAGTGGCAAAATTAAATTGATTTTTCTAATTTGTTTATTTAATGGGGCCCAAAAAACCTGAAATAAATTTAATTTTTTCCCCAGTATAACACTAACAAATTTTGAAATAAGTTTGCTATAGAATATTTAAGATAATTACAAAAAAAAATACTTCATAAAAAAATACTTTTAAATGTTTAACATAATTGTAAAAAATATATAAATGTATTTTCAAATAACCTTGCATAACTGTTACATGTATTTTGAAACACTACTAAAAGAGTTATAATACGACAGTTTATAAAATATAAACTGTTTTGTTCGTGAATATTTTTTATTTCTTATTTTAGAATATCCCATTTTTAAGCTCCTCTGTATAAAATAACATACCAAGTTTTCTAAAAACGAGCTAGCATATAAAAAAACTTTATACCAGAATAAAAATTTTCTAAAAAAACTTAAAACACCAGTTCCTATAAATGTCCCAATATTTCACACAAACTGCATAAAATAAAATTAGTGTTCGATATTTGTTATCATATACACCAAGCAAAATTATGAAAAAAAAAAAAAAAAAAAAAAAAAAAAAAAAAAAAAAAAAAAAAAAAAAAAAATATCGATAAAAATATATTTCAAATTTAATATTCTTTTCGTGCTAAAAAAATCCAATAGATATAAACGATTAAGCAAAATAAATCGAGGTTCGCACCTCCGTGACGATAAACAAAAAAAGTAAACAATGTCAAAACAACAAACAAAACGTAAATTGCCGCTATTAATTCCAAAACCATATTAAAATTAAACTCGAATAAATCGTTTGCAAATCAACGGTTGATAGGAATAAATTTCACACTAGATTCGAGTCTTATAAAATTTGTAAACAATTTTTATTTTAAGTAGAATTACATGTAGGTTGAGAGAGTCATTTTTAAATAGAGTGAGCTTTGTGGATTTAATGGATTTTAATACGCCAGTATAGAAAGTAATACCGGAAAAATTAAAACCAAATGAACGGATCGATAGGTTAGTTTCCAAAATCAAAGACAAACACAAATAATTCTCTATAATTGGCCATTAGCGAGCAAGAGATAAAAGTTCATCCGCAAATGCCCGGCTTTTTCAATTCGAAATTAAAACTTCTAAAAGGATTTAATCAGATCCAAAATAAATTTGAGAGAACAAAAAATAGTATTTCATTGATACTAAAAAATAGCTAAGTTTCATTTGGGTTGAACACAATACAATGGCTGTTAACAATAAATATTTTCAAAGGCATCTACAACAAAATATTACTATTTTGTTCTTTTATTCAGAGGTGAATTCTGTACAACAGTTATTATTTTTAATTGTTTGAAAAGTTTTGGATTTTTTTAATTTTTAGTTAACTCCTCAACTGGCATTGGTGGATTTTGCGAAAATCGCTTATGGCGTTATAATAATATTTTGGCAGATATTTAAAAAAAACACCCTGTATAAAAGCGCATTCAATTTGAACTTATGGCCAGGAAAAAGTATATCAGGGTCAAATACGAAAGCAAATATTATAATAAGAATAAAAAAAAAAAAAAAAAATAAAACAACAGAAAATATTTTTTTATATGTATGAAAAAAAAACCGAAACAAACAAACTTAAATAAACCAAGACAAAAACAGTATTGCGCGTGTTTGCGCTCTTAAAAGAGAGAGAGAGATAGATGCAGGCAGACAGACGCATAGCATCGTCTCGTAGCATACCGCGCTAGCCCGCGACTGTGCCGCCTTGATTTGGGCTTGGAGGTGCAGAGGGGGATGGAAATAGCGGCAGGGGTCGCGGTTGCAGCGGCCCTTGACTGCGTCCATGCAGACGGTGACCGTGCCGTCCTCGTTGGCGGTCACGGCGTCGGCGGGATGCGCGAAGCGACATTCGGACTCTGCGCGCTTGCACGCCCCGCGCTGGAACTCGCGGCACACCTACAGAAGGCAGAGGATAACCGGAGAGGCTCGAAGATCAGCTAAGCGCCGCTTGCTGCGTGCGTCGCCGTCGCCCGGGGACAGCATGCTGCGCGGACCGGGAGAGGTACGCGCAGCGCGTGATCCCGGTCGACGGCTGGCGGCGATCTACCCGCCACCAACCCCATTTGTGGACCTACAGGGTCTTTTTAAAAATTTTAATTTGGGACATGCACCATATGAGGTGTCGAGTTCCAAAACCTGTTCACGTCAAAAAACGTTGTTTGAGATAATATGCAAACATTATTTTAGCATATGTTAAAGGTTATTTTACAAAAATCATGTTCATTGAGTAAAATCATTCCTTTAAATATTTAATTTATAAAAGAAAAACTTTTTTGCTACAGCAAGATATTTGCATCCCAACTTTGATGTATTATATATGCAATTTTATTAAAATAAGGTAAGGATTTGAAATGGATAAGACGTCAGTAGGTAATTATTACTTGAAAAAAACAAATATAATTAAAAAAAAAATGCTGATTTTGCAAACAATACTGACAATAAATAACAAATATATAAGTGGAGAAGATGGATTTTGCTGCGGTAATACAATTTGTAGTAAATTCTGAGTATAGAAATAGGTCAGTTTTGCTAGGACTATGTTTATGTAGATTTGAGGGTCCACTATATTATACTGGGGCGTCTCAAAATTGTCTACAATTGACCCCTATAAATTTTCATTTTTCAGATAAAAAACTGAGATTGGGTTTGTTAGTATACGAGAAAAAAAATTAGGATTGATTATCGCCCAATTGTTTCCTGTCACTTTCACCGGAAATGACTACAACTTTGAATTTCCAAATGGCACCCCTGATATTTTATTATTTTATTCGATAGTAAATGACTCTAAATAGAATGATATATATCATATATCAACATTTTTTTTTTTTGACATTTTCGAATAAGTGTCATTTTGAAATTGTACATACATCTATAACGACAATTTGCCTGAAATGTTCAACTGTGTAGTTAAGGGTTGAAAAAAGAATTGAATAATGCCGGGTCAATCCTAATTCTATGTCATATATTAACTTACCAAGTCTCATCCTTTATCTGAGAAAATAAAAGCTATAGGTGGGGAGCTTTGTACTTTTGGGACGCACCCGTATATCATTAGACCATGTTTTAAAAAATTGATAAAAGGGCCTTTAAAACGTAACGCTCATATTAATACCTCGTCTGGCGTAAATAAACCTAATAATTTTTTATGAAATTTCATAGAAAAAAATGTATTTTTTTTTAATAACTCTTTAAAAAGAATACTTAATACACGGAATTCATACAGAAACTTCCAAAAAAGGTTTTATGAAATTGGAAAATTCAGCTTTCTTATTCGCCACAAAACAACCACGCCTACGCAAATAACTTTCTATCGAAAAAAGCTCAACATTACTGGCTAATAAATAATAAGTAAAAAACAACAGGGAGCCGAAAACTCTAACTACAGAAAGAACTTGAGCGGGTATCGCACACCGTGCATAGGACTCAAAAAAAAAATTTTTTTTCAAACCGAAATAATACAAAATCGATAGAAAGTTACAGGTGCTTCTCAAAAAAAGGATTTATAACGATAAAAATGATATCACTAAAAGACTCATATTTTACAGCTATTAAATAATTTACTTATATATAAAGTATGAAATAAATGAGACGACTTTTAAATTATAGTAACCCGAAGAAAAAAATCTGTAAAGTAATAACTCTGTTTTTCAGAGAGCCACTATAATGAAAAAGAACACCTTAACTGGTACATAAAAGTAGTTGCATGACATAGAAATCAAATTAATAGAAACATTAAATTAAATATACGTTTTTAAATTTTACCTTTTTTTTTTTTTCATTTTTTAGAGTATCATTTTTTAGAGTTTATTTAAAAAACATAAAAAAAAAAAAAAAAAAAAAATACAATTTTATTATAATTAATAAAAATCCCAGCACAGGTTGCGGTAGTCAGTTGTATCCATAGGAGAAAGCCTAATATTTAAATAAAAACTTTTAAAAATAATAAAACATTTTGGATTTCTAACTTTACTGATTTCTACATTACTTGCAATTTTTGAAATATAATTAGTCAAGAAAGTTTACAGTTTCCTTAAATTTTTCTGCTAATTGAAAATTACTGCCACTAATTTTGACGTTCTTGAATGGCTTACGTTGAAATTAGAGAAACAAACAGCATACTACTTTTATTAACCATATATAAAAATAACAAATTAAAAATAGAATTATTTTATGTACAAAGGGGAATATACTGAACTACAACTATGTGTGCTAGAGAGGTTAGCAATTTGGTTAGGGTGAATTAGTGTACGGTTAGTGCTTGAGAGTGTGTATTAATTACCTCTAGACATTTATCTGTCTGAAGTTATATATCCAACTAAATTACCTGCGAAAATAAAAAGAAAGCAAAAAGCAACAACTAAAAATTAATAATAATATAATTAAAATAACCAAATAACATAAAAACAAACCGATGTACATGCGTAGAATAATATTATTTTCCGTTGATTAAGATGTTTACAATCTAGTTTATTAAACTAAATAAAAAAATATAAAAATGTTTTTTTTTTTTAAAATTAGTAAATTATGAAAAAATTTGCGTTACATTTTTGTTTCTGATGCGCCAATCAACCAAAACCGTTTTTAAGGTAAATTAAGCTAAATAAAACAACCAAATATTGCTAAAAAATAAATATAACTATAAAAAAAACATAATAAAGTAAGTTTATAACGTAGTTTTTTGCAGTAAAGCCGGTTAAACATAGTACAAAATGATGTAAAAATATAGCGATGTAGTCGTATACAGTTTCCCTTATATACAATAATTTCCCAAAATTAAATAAATAAACAATAGCACTTGTCTTAAAATATACGAAAGAATAAATTATATAAACATAATTAAAATGGAAAGAGAAAAGAATGATTTAAAAAAGACCAAGTGCCAATAAAGTTAAACAAAATCGAGATAAATAAAAGTAAAAAGAGTAAGGAGAGCATACCTCTAATCTGTCAGATCGAGGCATTTTCTGTTGGGCTACCACTGTCTGCGGTACGACCCCGAGTGGTGACCCCACTCCTGTGGGGTCGGGGCCCATTATCGTGGGCATGATGGGGCCTGGATAATTCTCTCTGCTGCCGGCTAAACCGCTCAGCATCACAGCCAAGCTCATTCCATCCGCAGCCGTGATTCTCCACTGTACTGGTGCGAAGTACGGACTGTACGTACTGCCTACTTGTGGCATTCCGGTCAGGTAGGGATTGGCTGCCTAGAAAACAGAATAGAAAAAAAAATAGTTTAAGTTTTGCGCCAATCTCGCTACCGGGAGGTTCTAATTTCCTTGGTGCGCTCGTTGTAGGGTTTAGCAGTTTTAACATTGGGTTGACTGATCAATAAAGAAAAGTAATTTTATATGTACCGAGTATACAATTTTTACTAGAGGTAGAAGGGTGCGGTTTGCAGAAATCTCTCCACTTTTTTTGTCAAACGTAAGATGCTGTAAACAAAATTTTCATGTCCTCTTCGTTTCGGAGCTACAGGGTCTTTTCGAAAATTTTGCAATTGGAATGCCCCTGTACCTCCGTTTTTTTACGTAGAATACAGTGGCGTAAGTACTTTTATCTTACGAAAAAAATATTTTCGAAAACAATTAAAAATTTAAAAAACTTTTTTTTTCAAATTGAACACCCTGATATTTATAAATTAAACCCATCTTGCCTGAGAGCTTTCTCAAAAATATATATTATTCTATTATATATTTAGTTTCACTATTTTACTGCAATATTTTAAAAGATAATTTTCTTATCTAGTAGGCTGTGATCTCGGCTGTGATAGATAACAAAAAACCGCAAATGGTATTAAACTAAAAAAGTACCAAAGAAGAAATCTAGAACGGACAAATCCGAGGACCAGGGAGGCCCTCGTATGTGGGTCACATTTGTCCCAATTCATTGATTTGGGGAATGGTTATGTAACAAAATCTAATATTTCAAAGTTTGTGAGGGAGAACCCCATCTTGCTGCAAGTATATTTCATCATGGTTTCCAAGATTTACAATTAGAAAGTTAAGTTCTCTATATATAAAGAACCTTTATTAGTAGCTTCCGAAATAAAACAAGAGGACAGATAGCAATATATTTTAATAATTCTTTAGCTTCTTTTATTTATCAAAAAATTTTAAATATTGCCAGTAAATAGTAAAAATAAATATAGGGTGATATATATTTTTAAGAAGCTTATGGGGCAAGCTATATCATATGGAAAAATATCACAACTTTCGTTGCACGGTCATCAATGACACCATGTGTCGTCTTATAGAGTTTGCTGCTGGTGGTTACCAGCCAAACCAGTACCAATTTACTTTTAATTTTTTTTATTAAAATAATCAAATTATTTAATTTCCCACTAAATATACAGGCTGTTCCATTTCAAGAAAACATAACTTCTCAGTTCATACTGATCAAAAATATCTCGTCTTAGAAAAACTGTATGTCTACAATAAACAGTTTTCACCTTTCTCGATACCTTTCTCAAATAACCTCAGATAACGGGGTGTGCGCGGATTGCAAAATTTTCAAATAGACCCTGTAGCTCAGAAGCAAAAGGGCTAGAACGAATTTTTGTTACTGCATTTTTCTTTTGTGACCAATGGCTAAAGTTTCGACAGGGTTTGTGCAAACGCACCCCTCTTCTTCTTCACTAATACGGAGTTACCGCTTGATTTCAAGCAAAAATGAGGACACCCTGTTACAACATTTGTGGGGAATTTAGTCCTTTTCTCACTTTTATTGGATTATCCGCTTCTCAAGATAGCGATACATAGTCACAAAATTCAATACATATAAAGGTGCATTTACTTATTCCTATTTTGGATTCCTTTATTCATTCTATCTATCGAAAAAAATACTATCCCGATTTATTCTTTCCTTTTCATAACTTCCAACGAAAACTGGAAATTGTAATTCAATTAACGAAATAAATCTAGCAGAAAAATAAGGCAATTGCGGACTTCTTATATCCAATTAAAAATTCTAAATTGCACCGTCTCGACGATGATATCTTGCCATCTTAAAAGTTCTGCCATAAATAGAGGACGCTGGCGCCGTCATGTTTTAGAGTCCGTGTAACAATTTCCCCTTTTTCTATTTTTATCTCCCTGTTTTTTAGCTTATTCTCTTATTTTTTTTCTCATGGGAAGTCAAGGCTCCGCCCGTTCTTTTAACGGGCAATCTTTATTTTTTAATAATTTTTCTTCTTCGGTTCATCCGTAATTAGACTACGGCTTTAACACTCCACCCAAACTCGCGTAGGTATAATTGATATCTTGTTCTCAGTAAAAAGTTCAATTGTTACTTCGTTTTTGAGTATCTTAGAGATAGATTTTTATTATTACAGGGGCGTGTTTCAAACAACATGTGGCCTCGGGGAGATTTCCCTCTACCCGGGGTTAAACAAATAACAGATTTATATTTTTATATTAACATACGGTCGGAATTCTGCTTTGTTTTCGTAGCTACAGGAAGTTGAAATATTCACAGTATTCATGGTCTAATAATATTTTCCGATTTATTAGTAAATTTTCTTACAATTACTCTCTTACTCTTAGCGTTTTTTAAGTTACCATAAAGTGCCTACATATCCTTAATTGCTAAAAATGTGTCGATTAATTCATCAGGGACGTGATAAAGGTATCACTGAAAATATTTTTACCAAAAAAAACTTTTTTTTTTTTTTATTTTTGTGTTTCTTTTGAATATCAAAATTTTTTTTTTTTGTTTAATACCAAATAAAAGTTACAAAACTTAAGAAAAAACAAAAAAAAAAAAATATATATAATTATAAAATAAAATTAATAAATTCATATTATACCATAATTTTACTTATGAAATATTATTAGCATATATTAAAACTTCCTAAAAAAAGTATTAAATAAAAAAAAAAAAAACATATAAAAAAAAAATTAATGGTATTTAAATATTTACAAAAAAAACTAATTTTTTTGAAAGGTTTTGAACATCCGTAACCTCTAAAATTATGCATTTGCATACCCACGTTTATACGAACTTATTTCTCATATTTTTGATGAGGATCAATGAGTACTTATTAAAAACTTTCGCAAGTTAATGATATTAACATTTTTTAAAGGTTGCTATTAGACTTGGATCAAAATAAATTAATAAAATGCGTTTTATCTCATCAAGGAGGGCGAAATCGACAAAATACCAAGAAACAACATTAATCCTAATTTCCCTAATAATAAAAGAAAAAAAAAAAAAAAAAAAAATGCTTTTTTTTTTTAAAAAATTTCCAGTGATAACCCAATATGCACGTCCTTAGTGATAATAATATGTCGATACTTTTTAGGGTTCCGTATCCAAAGGGTAAAAACGGGAACCCTATATTACTAAGACTTCGCTATCCGTCAGCCCGTCTGTCCGTCTGTCACAAATGTCTATCTTATGAACCAATATAGCTAGACAGTTGAAATTTTTACAGATAACATGTATCTATGTTGCCGCTATAAGAACAAATACTAAAAACAGAATTAAATAAATGTTTATAAATAAAAAAGTACTTTCACTAAACATTATCTTTTAAGTAAGAACGTTAAGAATGGTACGGAACCCTTCTACTGACCAATTTTTTAAAATGTCTTCTTTAAAATTCAGCCTACCAAGATTTGCAATCTTGTTTGATATATACAGGGCGAAACAAAAATAAATGCTGTATTATTCTCCACTATTTTAAATAAAAAAAAAAAAAAAAAAAAAAAAAAAAACGAACAAAATTTATTTAATCTTTTGTTTCACTTTCTTATACCTAAAATATATTTAATGAAAAATCATGTTTTTTGAAAACATAGGATGATTTGACTTCTGTTTTTTTCGATAAAAAGCATTAATTATCAAAAGTGTCAATCAAAAACTGCAGATTTTTTACTAAAAATAATAAACCAAATTATCATAATTAAACAAAAGCAATGGAAAGACAAATGTAAACTAATGGGCTCTATAAGCAGGCAAATTATTTCTTAGATAGAATATAAAAGTATCAGGGTAGGATTTCAAAAATTGTAAATTCTGAAAAAAAAAATTGCGGTAAACAAAACAAAAATTGCCATATGATATGATCATATATGGTCAATTTTTATGTTAAAATCAGATAAAACAAATACCAGGGTGAGCCTTAAATAAACCAAATATTTCCAGCGGGTGGTAGGTCTCGGATTAAAAAATGTAATTTTTCCTTTATCGTTTTTTTTTAAATAAAGTTCAAAATTGACCGACATATTTTACTTTAAAATTAAAAAAAAAATGATTTTTCGCTTAAAATTTTTTTTTCTTTCTTGTAAATTTAATCTACTTATCTAGTTACCATATTATAAAGATATGTTTTCTTTAATTAAAAATTAAAAAAAAATCCGAATTTAAAAAAAAATTTTTGCGAAAAAAAAAACAGACGTGTTTTTCGGGTCAAAAATATTACCACCCCTTAAAATATTTACGACATAACCCTTATATTCAATTTCTGTTAGTGCCTAATATCTCTGAAAACTGTATATGAATTAATCCTGTTTCGAAAAATCAATACATTGCATATTTTAGAAAAAAAAAACAAAGCGAGAAAATAAACGTGAGCAAGTAAATTATTACCATCAGCGCATACGGCTCATCGAATGGCATGGAGAAATATGGATGGGTCAAAGGAAGGCAATCAATTGACGGGTCCACCTCAAAACCAATACAAAATTTAGTAAAAACTAAAACAAACCAAACCAAAATGCTCGTGACGCATGCCGCGGGTCCCAAAACCTAAGCTTTCAGCAGATTAAATAGTATCTTTGGGCCAATCAAATTAGAGGGCTCACTTGGAAAAAAGTGTTTGAAAGCTAATTATTTGATCTAGTTCATTTGAGTGATTTTGAGCAAACTAGAAGACAAATATCAATTAGATTTAAAAAACCTATGGCTCAGAAAAGATATAGTAAACCGGATAAATCTTGCGTTGCATCAACATATTGTTGACAAAGAACTTTGTATGGATATTTAATAAATTAAATTAAATAAAACAAGTCTCAAATTACAGCATCTGTCAAAATTAATAAACGTATAGATAGTATGAACAGAGACAATTGTCCACTTTCTTCCAGCTTTCTGTTCCTACTACTCTAGTTCGGTAATTAATTGTTACAATCGCCTAGCTAGTGTTTGCGCAAAAAAGTGGCTCTAAAGTGGCTCACCCCTATAACATTTTTATTTTTTTCAGATAAAAGAACGAAATTTGGTATAATAGTATATGATTGTAATGTTAGAAATTAGGATTGATTGATCAATTGTTTTTGGTCGTTTCCTATTTCACCGGAAATTACTACAGCTTTTGATTTTTAAATGACAACCTCGGTGTTTTTTTACTTTATTGTCGTTTTTAATCACATGTCAACTTTTGACATTTTCGTATATGGTTTATTTGAAATTGTGTCATGCGATTCGTAACGACAATTTGACTCGAAATATCAAGTGTGCAAGTGTATGGTACCAAATTATTCGTTTGTTTTTTGGAAAAAAAATGTTTTTTCCAAATATGCTGATGAGTAACCTTCGTTCCATTTGAAAAAATTGAGATATGATTAAAAATACGATTTGGGCATCTTTTAACCGGCTAGGACAAGACTAGGTTTTTAACCCAGCCATAGCACTCTAAATTGAAATTTAGAATATGATTTTTTTTAAATAAAAATGTCAAAAGTTGACATATATGATATGTAATTTTATTCAGAGTGTTATTTTCTATGGAATAAAGTAAAAATATACCAAGAGTGCCATTTAAAAATCAAAAGTTGTGGTCATTTCCGGTGAAACAGGAAGTGACCAATAACAATTGAATGCGTCAATCAATCCTAATTTATGTCATATACTAACATACCAAATCTTTTTTTTTTCTGAAAAATATAAAAAAGTTATAGGGATGAGCATTTTCGAGACGCACCCAGTATATTAGTTTAGTTTTAATCATCTGCTGATAATGCTAACACGGTTAGCGAAACGCGCGTCCAGTACAAAAATAAAAGTGTTTAGGTGTATTGTTGTGAAATAGAGTTTTATATTGCTGAGTAGTTTGAGTTACATTATTATATCTCGAAAAAAATTATGCGAAAAAAGTAAATACTAGTGCAAAAAGCTTAGTTTGGGACCCTCATTGCAAAAAAGTTAATAACATCAAAAGCAGCAAAGTAGAGACCAGAACAACCAAATGTTAATTTTACCACAACTAGAATTTTCAGAGTTTTCTGATCTCAAACAATAGCAGACGTGGAAAATAGAGATATTGAAGTACTTACCACCGCTTGGACTTGGCCTGGAACCAAGGGTTGTCCTGGTGTAAGTCCCATCTGTTGCATCAATGCGTTTTTAAGGGCAAGGTGATTCCTTCCGTTGATTAGTAACTGATCTTTGAGATGCTGTGGGGGATGGAAGTATTTGCAGGGTGGTTTTTCTCTATTACATCGGCCCTGAAAAGGAAGAACAAAGTTAGTAATGTTTTTTTTTAAATATAATAATAGTCTAGTACAGTAATATTAAAGAAATGTACTTTAAAAAATTCGCATTACAGTTAAACTTTATTTTCCAGACTGTAATGACTCAAGAATGTTGTAGTATAACACAACACTACATCCCAAGGTCGTTCAACAAAATTGAAGAGTTAAGATTTTGGCCAACTAGGAACCTACGCTGTGTTAAAAATATATATTTGTATTCTAAACAAATACACGGGTTTAAAGTATAGAGTATACAAAAAAAAGTTTATATAATTATTCTAAAGGTGCCGTTACACGGCGCGTGGATCGCCGAGCCTGCAACAGAAAATTTCGCGCCGCGCTCCGTGTGATCGTGTCGGCAGGCCGATCATCGGGCCATGGCCGGGTATATGTGCAGTTACACGGCGCGTGGATCGTCGAGCCTGAAACAAAAAATCCGCGCCACATGCCTTGTGAAAGGGTCGCACAGTGCTTCGAACATATGGCTCTAGAGGACAAAAATCCAAAACTTCTCTTTTATTGTAAGCAATTTATTCAAACTAGGTTTATTTGACACAAATGATGAGTACTCTCATTGTACTAAATGATGATGTTCTTAGTCCCACGTTTATGAAGAAAAAATCTTATAAATAATAATAATGTTGGAGCTGTGTTCCATCTAAGCAAATAATAAGTTATAGTATGAAAACGGTGTAAGTATTAAATAAATTCCTGTGATAAAAAAGAATTGAAATAACATTAGAACATGATTCCTACAATATAAGCCTAATATAAGATAAAAATGTTTTTCTTTAATGAAAAAGAAACATTAATGTTATATTTAATTAAAAAAAAACTTAAGATACTATAAATTTACTTTAGGACAACAAAATGCATAGATCGTAACTACTCTGATTCAGAAGAATCACTGCTGACAGAATCTTCCAAATATTTAGTATCCAAATCACAGGTAGATGAAGTATCCTCACATATAAGATATTTCTGTACATCATTTTCTAATATGTTACTTTTTCGCGTTGTTACTGTTCATTTTGTCGGTATGAGGGGTTCGGATGTTAATAGTTACTTCTTTAATAGACCATATCCATATATTATTTTTTCCTTTTCTTGGGTATGAGATTTTATAATAAATTGAAAGATGGACACTTTTTTTTATGCGACGTTTCGCTCCAACATAGTGGACTTTTTCAGGCACAAGTGGTGTCTCATTTGACTGGAAGGTTCATCAATATCTCATAAGAACATATTTTTTGAAGTACAAATAATTTTGAGTTCTTGTCCGTATGATCAAGCCAAGTATTAGCCAGATCGGCATTGCTTATCAATTTTACTCCGTCTGAAAAGTATTATAAAATAAAGTTCGTCGCAAGCAGACGCAGGTGAACTATACAAAAATTAAAAGTGTATGAATATGGCAACAAAAATATTCAATAAATACGATATGTTTTGAGATGTTTTTTTTAAATGCCTTTTTGAAGTTTGAAAACGTAAAATTTTTATACCCATTTAAGAATCATCTTAAAAAATAAATAAAAACTAAGCAATCATGAACTTGTTTAGAAATAAATTTAAAGTACATACCTTGTTTAACAATATCCATAGTGGCTTTCAATTAAGTACGTACCCGTTTAACTCCAGAATATACAGAACTACTATGAATGTTATTCTTTTCACTGATGAGATAATGATCGTAAAATTTATTTTTAGTGAAAATATTTGCTAACAAAAACGCTGTTTATGAAAAATAATATACAGGATGGTTGAACATTGCTATAAGTATAAAATTATATATTCAGATATTAGTAAATTTTAACTTATTTTTTGATTTTTGTCCATGGGACGAAGCACTGTGGGTCGGCGCGTCCTTCCCGTCGACTGGCGGCAAATTTCAAAGTAAACGCGCCGTGCGAGGTCTTCACCAGTAATTCTTTTAAATTCAGTTAATTTTATTTGTTACATAATTCAATTAAATAACTCCATTTAATGCAAACATACATAATTTGATATTAGCTTAAAAAATCTATAAATATCATATTAATTAGGTATAAAAATTACTGATAAATACAGGGTATACCAATATAATCTACCATGTTATTGTTTAAAATTATTATTTATTCTAAATTCTGTATAAATTATATACTCGTATAGATATTATAGATTATTAGTTCTAAATATAATAATATAAGTTACATACAAATATCCCGAAGGGTGTAGAACATGTCAAAAATGTTGACTATTACTAGAAGGATGAGAAGCACTATATACGATTTTGCTGATGTGATTTATGTATGTGTAATAATTGTATTTGATACTTAATTTATACTTCTAAATTTTAGAGCAGCTATAGAAATATTAATTCATAAAGTTTTGTGCAATTATGCTATTTAAAATTTGTATAGCTATACTAATTTATTGGGGGTAATTTGAGCGGTGGTAATTGCCGATGATTATAACAATATATTATAGGTACCAATTTACCCCTCAGGCCAGGTATTAACCGGTACTACAAAGAATTGTTTACTTTGAACACAGTAGGTATGTGATACATTTGATTATGTAACCTACCATATCTATCGAAAAACGGAGATTCGAAGAATAATTGATATTTTACATATTATTTCGAGACAACATGTTTTGGTTGAACGAGACCATATCTGAGTTTTTACCCCTATATGAAAAAGAACAAATAACTTGGAACCCCAGAAATAATGCACATAAAAATTGAAATGACATACAGGACGGCTGCCTGAAAATACATCAACAGTTGAGTATCAATAATTATTGCACTATGAACGAATTAAAAAATTAATTAATTAAAGAATTAAAAAAGAAGAAGAGTTGTTCTAGTCGTTTTAGTTCCTAAAATACAGGACGAATTTTAAAATGTTGCATTTTTCGATTCCATCGTATATCGGTTATCTTATAACTTATCGAAAAGGTGAGAATTCAGTCTCGTTTAGTGTTTTACGTAGAATCCAGTGATTTAGAGAGACACCCAGTATATTATTTTTTTATATTATTTGTCTTGTTATGGGCTTTCTGAAAATATGATATACTCTAAAATTATATTTTCATAAATAAGGCAAAAAAATATTATTTAACTTTTGAACATAAATAACCCTAGTTAAAAAAAGTATTATTACCTTATTTAATTTAACCATATGATTTTGCTTTCCATCTTGTTATCTTAATAAACTGTACTGAAAATAAAGTTGCGGAATAAATTATTTGATTGTATGAATTTAAATCCCATTTAAACCGATAGTCTATGTTAAAAAGTTATACACTACTGGCAAAGGAATATTAGCAATAGGAGGTTTTCAATGCGATAAAAAAAAGATGGTAAGGCTGCAAAATACACTGCAGTGCAACAGATACGGATAAAGTGTCTTTTCCCTACCATCGTATAGGGGAAGTGATCATAGAAGTGATACGACGAGAGAGCCCCTGCGAGAGGGGGCGCCGGGCGGGTCTTTAAGACGCTTGTGTGGGGGCTACCGCCTACTAATAGAACAGAATCGAAAAAATAGAAACAGGACGGACAGTGTTGCCATTCAATTAAATCGAAATTATGTTGGCTTGTCAAAATCCTAAATCTTCTAATCCCATTATCTTGCCTACTTAATGAAATATTAAATAAAGTACGAAACAATTTTACGAATGTTTTCTCTAGGCACATAACTTCTTTCTAAAACGAAAAGTAACATGCAAAACTTTGATATCATTTCTAAAATAGCAAGTGCAATTCTATGAAATGGCAATACTGTACGATCTTCCTAGCAGTCGCCCCGACACAGTCGGTCGGCGGCGGCGCTTCACAAAGCCGCGGCTGTGACAAAGGAATTAGGCCGAAAAAAACTTTATAAGGAGTAGACGAACAGGGTTGCCGGGTTTGTTAGATTATAATTCCATACGAGAACAAAATTCTCGGTAGATCTTCAACAAAAATTAAAAGTACAGAAACGAAATAAAATATAATATTTAAGTCCAAAATTAGCATTCCTATGTGTCGTAATAATAGATCACTCAAATAAAATACAAATATAATAAATATAACAAGAATTAGAAATAGCTAGGTATATTATTTGATATTAAAAAAAAATATTGAATTAAATAATATTAATATATTAATAAAAACATATAAAACTATAACAAGTAGGGATAGCAGTCACAAATTAGTGTAACAGTCACTTTTTACCTTTGTACAAATTTTGATCAGTGATATCTAAAATTAATTTCATTTCAATGGTAAAGCTGTAGCAACTCTCAACTCTTTTTTCATATTAATAAATTTTTTTGACGGGAAAATCACTAAATATTGTCCGAATTTAGGTTGTTTCTTAACTTAAATTTTGTTTTTGTTTACATTTTTTGGGGGAAAATATGGGTTCAACTTTAGTAGATGAATGAAATAAAATCTTTTCAAAAGATATCAACTTCTTCGGGCATGCCGCCAATCCCGCGCCTAATAAGGAGTAATAAGGATTTTTAGGAATATCTCTGTAACTCTGCAACTAGACAGAACGATGACCTGTATGTCTGTTATTACTAAATAAAATTTAATGAAACAATAATAAAGTCAGATTATATAGATTCCAACGCGGCAGTCGCTTAATTTTTAGTCAAATAAGTCAGCTTTTTAAAAGTGCTTCTATTGTAAAAACTAAAGACGCAGTTGAATATATCGTTGGGTTTTTCTTTAAATCGGTAGATCGGTAGCTTACAGACGAAACCGGTAGACCTGGCAACTCTGTGATGAACTGACGGGAGTCGGAATAGCGAGGTGCGGAGGCGCGGGAAGGGAAATAAAATAATGGCGATAAATAAAGAGCAGGGAGATGGGTATCATGAGTGGATGGGAGGTGGCGGAATTTCCAAAATGTGCTATCTTATTGGAGTTTGTCTAAGTAGACAGTCGTAGTGGAAGTGGAAACGGGGAAGTTGTTGTCCATCTCTGTTTAAGCATAGACTTT